CTCCATCCTCAATGTGCACCTGAACCTCCGAAGATCTTGGAAAGTGCAGATCGTGACTCAGGAGGTCTGGGGTGAGGACCCAAACTCTGAATTTCGAACAATCTCCCAAGTTGATGCCAATGTTGCTAATCTGCATCTAGGGCCACCGACTGGCCCAAGTTTGCCCAGGACTCTCCCAGTTTTAGCATTGAAACTCGCACATCCGAGGGAAGCTTAGACCTGGAAGACCAGGACAGTTGGTCACTGTGTCCACAGAGCACACTTTGAGTGAGAAGGACGTAGCCAGCTGAGTTTGTGCTGAGCTTTGCATCCCCTCACTCCAGAGTCCCTGGAATAATCCTCTTGACCTGATAAAGAATTGTGACTCTTTAATCTCTAGAAATGACAAGGGTGGCTGCTGGTTTTGTGGGGCCTCAAGCTTATGTAATCTTAGTGGCTCTTTTAAGGAGAAAAAAAAGCACAAAAATATCTTTGTTTTGCAAAATTTGCAAAACACATAACCATGAAAATAGAGTAAATTCCCTTCTGTCTCTTTGGTCTCTGGCCAAACAGGTGCTCACTTCCTTCTGGGAGCATGATGTAGGCCTCTCCATGGCCAATTCTAAGAGACACCACCAGGTGGCAGTAGATTTACACAGCCCTCTTCAACCCCCGCCAGGCCCCCGCCCATCTCCAGAAATTTCTAAATCTTCCTCCAGATGGCCTAGCCAGCTAATCCAACAAATTAATCTGTGCTGTGATAATGGGCAAAAGAGTTCATGTGCTTCTCTCTAAATAGCATATTTTCCATTTAATGGAAATGCTAAGAGATTGTTTTTAAAACCAAATAAAGAGTGCTAATAGGTGAGTTCCAGGCACAGTGTTGGATACACATCACTATGGAAATGTTTTTAATCGGGGAGACCTTTCTGTGCTCAACAGATTGCATCTATGGAGGAGTTCTAGGTCTTATCACCTGTTCCTCCACCCCAATATATAGCTTATTAGGTACCAGTTTGGGAGTTCAACTGCCTGCGTAGTGAGTACTACCACTTACTGAGGGTCATGTTGAGTAAGGACCTTAACATCTGTGTGTCTCAGTTTCCTGATCTATGAAATAGGAGTGATAATACTGATTTCACATAATAGTTGTGGGGATTAGGTAAAATAATGTATATAAAGCACCCCCAAAAATGTGCATACAGAGGCCACTCCATAAGCCACTATCGTCTTCATCATCCCATGCCTTGCCTGCCTTCTGCAGACAAAATTCTCCGTCCTTCCTCCAACCTCAACCCCCTACCAGCTGCCTCAAGAGAACAGAGGGAGGGTTGAGCCCCCAGCATGGTAATAATCAGGCCAGTTCTGGGCACAGCATTCTCCAGACCCATGATCTCCTCGAAAGTTGGGGCTCAGCCCTAGTGACACTGAAGCACACAAAGCGGGAGGGGCACTGGCTGGGCCAGAACTCCAGATAGCCCAGCCCAGCACTTTTGCAGGAGGTAACTCTCCAAGTATCACCTTGTGGATACCAAGAGCCCAACATCTGCCGATGAGCCTGGCATGTGAGGGCAGATGGATAAGGGGGTCGTCTGGTGGAGCCGGACTCCCTCCTAGATCCTAGGAGGACACTGTTCCACACGGAGGGACTCCTCATGGAGCAGAGGCTTCATCTGCTGTGCATCTTCATCTTCCTGTTGGATCTGGGAAGCTCTCTTTGCCTCTTCTCCCCACATCCCCTCTCTGGTTACAGTCACCTTCAGTCAACTACACTAAAAGGCAAAAGGGTGAATGGTTATCAAACTTTGCTGCGTATTAGAACCACCTGAGGAGCTTTTGCAATCTGATTCCCAGATGTATGATCTAAATCCCAAACCAATGAAATCAGAATCTTTTGAGAATGAGACCCAAATTTGAGAAATAATTCCAATATGAAGCACCTGGCTGGGTGAGTCAAAAGAGCGTGGAACCCTTGATCTCGGGGTCATGGGTTCCAGCTCCATGTTGGGTATATATAGAGAGAGAGAGAGAGAAAGAAAGAGAGAGAGAGAAAGAAAGAGAGAAAAAATAATTCCAATGTACAGCAAGTTTGAGAACCAGTATTGTAGAGTGGTGTTTCTCCAGCCTCAATGTGCATTCAAGTCACCTGAAGAGTTTGTTAAAACGGACATTCTAATCCAGTAGGTCTAGGGTAGACCCTGAAATTCTGTGCTTCTATCAGGCTCCAGATGATACAAATGCTGCTGGTATGTAGCACAAATTTTGAGTAGTAAGGTTGTAGAACAGTGCTTCTCAAACTTGGCATGTATCAGAATCATCTGGAGGGCTTGTTAAAATATCCACAGTTTCAGATTCAGTAGATCTGGAGTGGGGCCCCCGGTATCACTGATGCTGTGGGCGCATGAGCCCACTTTGAGCAGCAGGGCTAGAGAGCACAGAACAGAGGTTTTGGAATCAGGCTGCCCGGGGCCCTGTTTCTGGCTTCACACCTTGCTAGCTCTGCAATATTGCCAGTTATTTAACCTTTCTGAATTGTCATTTCATCATCCATAAAGTGGCCATTATTGGGTAAGATTAATTGAGCTAATATGAAACACCTACCAGACTTCCCAGTGTGCTGGTCCTCCAACTTGATTGCAAATTTAAATTACCTGAAGAGCTTTAAAATAAATCACTCCATGGTTGTTGATTTAATTGGACTGGGGTACTGAGCATCAGGATTTTTTTTTTTTTTTTAAGCACTCAGGTAATTCTGCGCAGCCAGTACTAGGTACTGGCCTGGCTCTGTCTCCCAAACACAAGAATCAGATTGCTGGGCAACACTCCCTGAGTCTCCGACTCGGTATGTCTAGGGTAGGGCTGAGAATTGGCATTCCTAACAAGTTCCTAGGTGTCAGTACTATGCTCTGGGGATTACACACCTATCAGCATAGGGCCAGGGTGCCTGGCGGGCTCAGTCAGTAGAGCATGTGATTCTGGATCTTTCGGTTGTAAATTCAAGCCCCACGATGGGCATAGAGATTACTTAAAAATAAAATCTTTTTTAAAAAAGTGTACAGAGTAGGGTTAGGTTAAAGAATAAGCTTGGTTTGTCCACCTGCAAACAGTAGGTATGGAGAGCATCACCTGTCCCCCCGAGGTCCGCCTGGGGGTAAGGGAGAACCTCTTTTTTTTTTTTTTAAGATTTTTATTTATTTATTGAGAGAGAGAGAGAGAATGGTAGAGAGAGAGCATGAGAGGGAAGAAGGTCAGAGGGAGAGGCAGACTCCCTGCTGAGCAGGGAGCCCGATGCGGGACTCGATCCCGGGACTCCAGGATCATGACCTGAGCCGAAGGCAGTCGCTTAACCGACTGAGCCACCCAGGCACCCGGGAGAACCTCTTTCTAAGGAGGGCAGGAGGGACCCGCCATTGTTCCTCCAGACACTGCGCTCAAATGTGGCATGGGGTAAGAGAGGTGGCCTTGGCCTGGGTGACTGGGAGCCCAGAAACAAGATGTGTGGGTGGAAGCCACAAGGAAACCTTTGGGCTCCACACAAGGAAGAACTTTTTAACCTTGAGAACTGCTGTCTGGAAAGGTCACCAGCTTCCTCTTTTGGCGGTGAGTTCCCTGGCCCGGGAGGTAGTCCGGCAGAGCTGCGGACTAGGGTAAAAGCTAGAGGTACTTGCCGGGGAAGATCTCTGCGGGCCTTTGAAGTCTGACATTGCACATCCCTGCAGCCTCCCCTCAGCCTCACTCCAGAAGCTTTCTGTTTATTTGGGGAAGTGACGGGCTGGAGCTTTCCCGACAGACCGGCTTTTCCCCTTGGTGTTTTCCTTCGCCTATCAGCTAGCGGTTTACTTTCCCAGGGCAAACAGGAAAGCGCCTGCGCTTAGCAGAGCCAGCAGGTTGGCGAGGTTGCTGTGCGGGTAGCAGGTGTCGCCTCCTGAGCTCACTGTGGCCAGGGCTGAGCCCTTGGGGCCTTACACACGCTGCGGGTTAACCGGTTGGGGGGGGGGACGGGGAGGGGGGCGAGGCAGGTGGCCCTCGGGAGGGACAGGGGCTCCGGGGGCAAACCCTGCCCAGGGCAAGAAGAGAAGGGTCCAGCCCACACCGCGGGCCACATCAGAGCACCAAGAGAACACCAAGTCTTTATTACAGGAATTCCTATGAAACAGCTCCAAGAAAAAACCCACACATAGGAGAAAAAACGACTAACAAAGCAACACACACAGACTTGGGGCTGGGGCTTTCCCGCCATGCGCTGGGAGGGGTCCGGGCCACAGCCCAGAGACCTCTCCTCTGCCCCCGGGGCCGGACCGTCCGGAGCTCTGGCTGGCGGCCCGGGGGCTCCTCGGGGTCGGGGGTCGGGGGGGGGGCAGCACGGGGCCGAATCGCAGGGAGCAGCGGAGGGCGGGCGGCCCCGCGCCAACGCCCCAGGCCCCGCGCGGCCGCCACACTTGGTCAGGCTCCGCGGCGGCGCGTCCCGTCCCCCCAGCCCCCGGGGGCCGCCCCTCCGCCGCGCGCGCCGGGGAAGCGGGGCCTCGGCGTGGGCCCTGGCCTCCGCGGAACGAGGTGCCATGGCGCCCGCCACGCCCTCATTATCTCGGGGTGACGGCCGGGCTCCCGCTCCCAAACCCCCCCCCCACCCCCGCGCTTGGGCTGGGCTGGTTCCCCGCTGCGGGGGGGAGGGGGCGGGGGCGGGGACCCCCTCGTGCCTGCCCAGGCTCCCCGGCTCTCCTCCGGAGAGGTCAGCGCGCTCCCGTCCTGGAGGCTGGCCGGAGAGACCGGGCCAGCCGCCTCCCGCTGGCAGTGCTTGGTGCCTGCTAAGGCTTGTGGAACCCGAGAGCGCGTCCTCACGTCATTCCCCTTCTCGTTCTTGGCAAGAGGCACCCAGCAAGCCCGTCCGCCCCGGGCGCCCCCACCGCGGCTGGCAGCCTTATCTCCTCGCTCCTCAGTCCTGCACTTTCTCAAGGGTCACCTCAGAACCTGCTGCTGCCCACCCTTAGTGACAGCAGGACTTCTACTCAGAGCCACCCCGCCCCCGCCGCCGTGAGCCCCCGCTGTTGAGTGACTGCAGGGTCCCATCCAGAACAGCCTTTTGTCTTCTGCCACAGTCAAGAACACTCCTGCCTAGCCATACTCCTCCAGCTCCGGGGTGGCCCCCTCCCCATCCCTGCTGGGGGCCGTGCCAACCCCTTAACAGAGGCAGCTGGTGGGGCCCTGGCAGGGTGGTCCGTCAGGAGCTAACTCTCTACAGGGGCCCATCACTCCTCAGAGGGAGCCTGAGTGACTGCCCGGCGCTCTCCCACCCAGGGCTCTGTCCAGGGCTTGTACCAAGGGTCCGCAGCCCTGGGGGGGGAAGGCTGAGATGCAGGAAGCCATGGGAATAAAGGGCCCAAGGTGCCCAGAAAGGAGCTGGGGATGGGGATAGAGGGTCAGGCAGTGTCTGTGACCCAGGAGAGATGGGGAAAGGAGAGGGGGCAGGGGCTCCACCTTCAGGGGCTTCACCATCCTGCCCTTTTGGGTACTCCAACCTTCGCCTTTTTTCTGGGATTTTTTTAAGAAGGTGGTGGAGGTGGGGAGCGGGGGTGGGGGGGGGGGGGGGGGAAGGTGGTGGGAGTTCCTGCACTTCCACTCATTGCCCATAGAACAGCCTGGCTACAAAAGGGGCTAGGACTGGCGGCTGCCCCCAGGGCCCCAGGTCCTTCCTCCGATCACAGCACAAAACTCCAAAGTTCTAAGTCCCCTGGAAAGTGGCAGTGACAGTGGCAGTGATGGGGCTGGACGTGGCTGAAGAATCACCAGGCCTCAGTCCTCGGCGCCATCTGTCCGGCGGCAGCCGGGCCCTTACGCCTGGGGGCTGGTTTGGCTCCCCGGCTGCCCCCGCCAGGTCAGACCATCTCCGGCAAGGAGGAAGCACTGGCATCTGGTGGGGAAAAGAGACGGGAGAAGCCTTTTTCAGTGGAGCCCAGTGGTCTTTCCTTGTCAGCAGTCCCTGCAGAGATGGTTTCAGGCAGAAGGTCCCAAAGACAGGCGCCCTCTCCTTCTTCCAGGGACTCTATGCCAGCCTTGGAACTCTGCCCGGGGTCATGTCCCGCCCCCCACATCCAAGCTCCAGGAACAGCAGGAGCAGGGCCTCTGGCAGCCCGAGCTGGAGTTGGGGGCTGGAAGTCCAGCTGGAAGCAAGCGTATAGGGAGGGCTGAGAGGTGGGGAAGTGGCCAGCCCGTTCTGGGATGCAGCAGTGGCTCAGAGGGGCTGCACCAAGGGGACCCGTAGGGGCAGAAAACGAATTAGGGTCAGAGTTTGGTAGGCCCCACACACCAGGCCGAGGAGTTAATAAGCCCCTACTAGGAGGGCTCACTCCAAGAGCAAGGGAGAAAGGGCAGAAGAGTGGTGTCCTGGGGACGGGTGAGCAGAGTCAGGGCCGTGAACCACACTAGCAGCTGCGAACCAGGCGATGCGAGTCTACCAGCGCAGGGTGGAAGGGAGAGGAGAAATGAAATGGGCAAGTCTGGAGAAGATGCTGTCTGGCTTCCAATGACTTCAGACCCAGGGCTGGGAAGACGGTCATGGGCACAGCTGGGATGCGGAGTGGATGTGGAGGACAGCCTGAGAGGGAGCGGCCCATTGCACAGGGGTCTTGCTGTTGCTAGGAAAGAGGGTGGTGAACTGCCAGAGAGTGGGAGCGAGAGAGTCAAGGCCAGAGCTCCCGGAAGAGCTGGGACTGTGGCACCGGGAGGAGCCCCGGGAGAAGCGCGGAAGAGGAACAGCAGATAGGAAGAAGGCCCCGGATTCCTGGGCCACAGGGGTGGGCAGGGAGCAGTTTCAAGAAAGACGGTGGGCATGGCATGCACAAGGGAGCACCAGAGGATGCAGAACGGAAGGACCTGGCTCTGGGGTGACCTTCCTGCATCAGTCTGGGGGTGGTGGGAGGGCTGCCGACCTGCAATGGGTGAAAGAAGATGCCATTTTTTTTGCAAGTTGGGCAATGAAGGAAAATAGCGAAACCTCTTGGTTTTGAAGATGGGGAGGGAGAGGAGGAGGAGGGTGTAGACTTGAGGAAGGAGCTGGAAAGGGAAAAGCTGGACAACTCCGGAGAGAGGAATGATGGCAAGGGCCTGATGTGTGGGCGGCTTTGGAGCAGACACGTTTTCCTGGGGGAGAGGGGCAGTGGAAAGGGGAGGGAATGGCAGCAACCGAGTGGGAGTGGGGTCCTTCACCCCAGGCGGCTGTATCGGGGCATCCTGGGCCAGCGGGGATCGCGGGTGCAGCTCCGCGCCCGAGGACGGCCCCAGCTTCGGCGTTCTGGGGGATGTGGGAGGTAGTCAGCTAGGAGGTGTGAAGGCCAGCTGCCCGGGCTGGCTGATCCACCTCCACAACAACAATCTCGAGGGCAGCAGCTAGCCATCTCTTCATAGTGTGAGACAGGGCCACACCTGCCACACCGTCCGCTCGGCAGGGGAAAGCCCTGTAGATGCTGGCCACTGGGACCAGGACAGCGGCCTGGGGAAGGGTGGGCGGGTCGCCTCCTGATGGGGAGGGGGACCGGAACAGGGAACAGGTTCTACTGAGCCCCGGAGGGGCTGCTGACATTCCCTGCTTCGCCCCCAGGGATGCACAGGAGAAGAGAAGGAGAAGCAGCCTGAGGGCCCACGGCTCCAGCCAGCAACAGAGCTGCCTGAAGGGAGACTGTTTCTTCATGTGGTTGTGGCAGATCCTACACCATCCAACCCAAGCAGGCAATGGGACAGTTCTGTGTGTGCACAGCTGTGGGGAGGCCACTTCAAGTTTTCCTAAGTCGTCCCCTTATTGTGCAGTATGTGTCCTGAACTGTCTTCCAAATGGGCTGTCAACTCTCAAGGTCAAAGCTGACTTTTTCCCCCTTGTTCCCAGGATCTGGCACAGGCAAGTGTGATTACTTTGCTAAATGAATAACCAAAAAAAAAAAAAAAAAGGAAACGCCAAAAGGCTGGTTTTCATGCAGAAGACCATGTCCCCTGCCACAATGACAAGGGAAGAAAACCCGGATCTGTGCCATCCAGTTGCCTGAGCCCAATGCCTCTGGATCCCTGGGAAAACCCCCGGGGTATTGGGCATGGCAGGCCCAGCCTCAGGCAGTGTCTGGGCAGCTGCGGCTCCAGGCCTTACCTCTTACTGTCCTTCCCTTAGGGTTTCCTCCACCTTGGGTGCCTTGGGTGCCTCGTGTCGCCGTCCCCGGAAGTCTTCATCTGAAAAGCAGAGGCAAGTTGCCTCATGTTTCACCGTGCAGGGCCTCATGAGGCGTGCCCCTGGGCTGGGCGAGAGCTGACCCAACACTCTCCATCCCCTTTGTTTGCTGGGGCACATGCTGAACCTGGGGTGGGGTGGGGTGGGGACACGTGGGTGTGCTGAGAGGCACCAGGGCACAGTGTGGGGTTAGGACACCTGGCTGCTGGCCTGACTCCATCACTGAGCTCGGACAAGGTCTTCCCTCAGCTCCTCATCCTCATCTGTAGAATGGGTGGGGAAGTGGTACCCTCCATATGGCCTCTAAAGACCCTCCTAGCCCTTGTTTCTGGATGTCTCCTGACCACCAAAGGGCCCTTCTGCTCTGAGGCATGAGGATCAGCTTCAGCTGTGGGCCTGCTAGAGTCTAAGGCAGTGTCTTCTGGCCACATGGCCTTTGGGAGGAACTGGATGAACGCCGAAAGGCCTCTGGGCCCAGGGACTGAAACTGCACAGCACTTGGTTGTCCAGGTGAGGCCCCTCCACGTGGGTAGGCCTGACTGCCCCCTCCCACCTCAGAGAAGAGACCCAGAAACGGCACCTGACACTTTGTTCTCCACGGAGAGATCTAGGTGGAGGTACAGCTGGGGCCCCCTTTTGGGAGTGGAAGGAAGGGAGAGGCAATATGAACCAACCCATTTCTTTGGGTCACCTGCCCACCTACCCACGATGTGTGTGGGTCCACCCACGAAATACCCGGGCCCTCCTCTTGGGAGGGTCACCGATGACAAGCAACTTAGAGCTCAAGCTCCCCTGCCCTCCTGGCCTCACCACAAGTGTGGCCCTCCACGTCGTCCAGGAGATTAGCTGTTGACACCGCAGCTCCCAGCCTGCCGGGCCATTCAGGAAAACTGTCTCAGGGATGGGTGGGCACTGCCAGCATCCTCCCACCTCCACCAGTCCCTGTCCCTGGCCTCTAGCGCCCACTCCCAGCTCAGGAGGCTTCTAGCATTATCCCCCAACCCTCCCCAAAGCCTCCTTTCCTCGGGATCAGGTGAGCAGCCAGGTCCTGACTTTATCACCCAGTTCCCATCTCTGGGCGTGGAGAAGGGAGTTCCTCCCTGTTCCCCTCTGGCTGTTCGGCTTCTAATATCCTAGGCCCGTGTAACAAGAGTGGATGGGAGTCTGGGTTAAAAGGTGGAGAACCTTATTTTTACTCAAGAAATGAAAGCAAGAAGGCAGGGCCCAACGTGCTTGAAATGGGTAGGCAGCAAGATCTATGGATCAATTCAACTCGAGAAACTAGGGAAAGGTTTGCCCATTTTAGGGGAAGAACCACGTCTTCTCCCAAGAGTAGATGAGCCCAGCCAGAAAGTGAAGATGTCGTGGGACAACTCGGGAGCCCACGGAAGGGAGTGGGAGACGCTGGCCTGCTCCCCAGCCGGGTCACGGGGCTCCGGGCCGGGCGGTGGGCTGGCCTCAGGGCGCACGGAGGAGGCAGGTGGCTGCAGAGCCTGTCCCAGCCCCAGCCCCTGGGGAGGGCGCAGCCTCGAGAGTGCGGCCAGGGGGTCAGCGCCCTCAGCACCCACGCCCCTGCCCTGCGCCAGGCCGGAAAGGATACGACTGGTGCTTGGACAAGTGTTTCCTCTTTGACTTCCTCATCCTGGTCTTCTCGGAGAAGGCCCTGGCCAGCTCGAACAGCTTCCGCCGGGTGGCTGGGGCAGAGAGACGCGTGAGCCACAGCTGCAGGGCCGCCCGGGGTGGGGGCGGGGGGCGGCGGCGGGGAGACAGGAATGCGGCGGGGAGGGGAGCGCACCCTCCCCCCGCCCCCCCCAGCAGTGGGGGCTGCCATCTGGGGCTGGCCTGCAGGGGCAGCATAGGCCACCGAGAGCAGGGCCGGCCTGGGCAGGCAGCCCGAGATCCGGGTACTCCTGCCCCAGCAGCGACAGACAGCAACGCGTCTTGGCTGTCTTTCCCGCCGCTTCCCCCGCCCCCTTCACCACCTCCAGAGTTGGTTCTGGGATTTCCATGACTAATCCGAGATCTTCCCTGAAATGGAGCCTGGAAGGATGGCAGCCCCATTCACCCATGATTGTGTGGTCGGGCGGGGAGGAGGAAGGGTAGGTGCGTCCCGGCTGGCAGGACTTTGGGGCAAGAGGTCACAAACCCTCGGGCCTCCTGCCCACAGGGAGTGGGCTTAGCACAGGCCTCCCCACTCATCAGGCCTGGCCAAGTCCCCTCAAGCCACAAAGGACGTGAACGCTAAAACGGGGGTGGGGGTGGGGTGCAGCACATTCTTATTTTTCTGCAGACAGCTGGCTCAAGAGGATTTAAAACTGAGTTCAGTATCCAGACCCGGCTGCAGAGGGAAGTGAGGGAGGAAGGCGGAGGGAGCCAGCCTGCGATTAAAACGTCACTTTGGTTCACCCAGAGTCCACTAGATGTTCAAAACTCCTGGTGGCTCCCTCCCTCCCATGAGGCCACAGGGCCTGTCTTAGAACAGATGGGGACGGGGCATAGGCTGGACTCACATTTTCCCATGTGTTTCAACTTGTCCCTGAATAAGGCATCTTCAGACACAGCAGGATTGGTGTCACCAGCTCCTGAAAGGGGAAGACACCCCTGAGGGCCGGCTGGAGAGGGAGAGCGGCTGCTCAAGCCCCCCCCCCCCGGGGTGGGGAAGTGGGTCAGGGCTGCCCCCCACCCCCGGACAGGGTTTTGGCCCAACCCTTCCATCTGAGGAACGGGGCAAAAGATCAGGCTTCTTCCCTAAAGACACTGAGGATTTGAGGAGTACTTCTTTCTCCACCAAGCCTTGCTTGGCTTCTTTGTGTAAAAAGCAGGACAGTGATATGGTCCGCTGTATGCATGGAGGGCTGGCTCACACCGGCTTCCAACTCTCCGCTTCTCTGACCAACTCCGAGTTCCATGAAGTCATGCTGATAGCTTGGAATCAGTCGTGGTGGGAGTATTTACATCATGAAGTCACCCGACGCTAAGCACTGGGGCTTCCCCTGCACCCTGAACTTGGTTGGTATATATTCGCCAGCACGCGGTGGCTGGCCTGTACCCTGACCCGGTGTGAGAGTTAATATGGGAATGGAAGGGAGGTGCGGGCACAGAGCAGGCCTCTGCCCATGGCAGTTCCCTTCTCCTTCCTGCCTGGCTCAGCCCCTCTGATACTCCCTCCAGACGTGACGTTTCTGACTCATTTGACAGAGGAATGAGAATAAACCCAAATGGCCCACCTAGAGTCTCCCCGCTCACTCAGCACCCACTTACGTCTCTAGCTGCGCTTCTAAAGCCCCTGCTCCTCACCCTGCAACTCGGCTAATCCCAAGTCACCTTGCCTGCTAAGTCCCCTGTGAGTCATTATGATCCATCTCAGCAGCCCCGGCGTGTCTAGTTCACTCAGGATCAAGGACGAGAGACTGTCGTTAAAACTCCCAGATGCACATCTGGTGGGGCCTAAGCTCCGAGCCTGCTGCTTATGAATCAGTTCCACGGGATTTTCTCTCTTTGAGCTGGGATCAGCTGAGCTCCCCATCCTTCTGCTCCTCCACCCCACTCCACTGCGTGATGTAAGGTCTGCTTCGGGCAAAAGCTGCCCCTGCTGCTACCTTCTCTGCAGTGGGCAGCCTAGTATGGATGGAGGCATTGGCTGGCTAGGGGCCACGAGGCACACACAGGGACACGTGAGCAGGTATCAAGTATAGAACCCAGGCCTTCTGGCCCTCTCTGCCCATGTTCCCAGCTCCAGCTTAACCCTTGTTCGTGCATCCCAACAGGCTGCTGTCCATTCCTGGCCCTCCTTCAGTGGGTTAGGGCTCCTGGAAGGGCCTGGCCCTCTATTGAGGCAATTCTTGCTTCTCACCATCTTGGACGTGAAGCTCAAAATTCTCTTCCTCCAGCACTTGGGTGGGGCCCGGCCAGGGCAGATACAGCCTCAGCTAATGAATGAACAAAGCCTGCCCTTCTCACCGTGAGCAGCTGCGATCATCAGTAAATAATGTCCTCAGCTTTGCTGGTTTGTTCTAGCCATCTCTTGAATGCTTCTCCTGCATTCCCCAGAAGACCATAAGCTCCCCCAGGGCACAGATCAAGCCTTGGAAGTCTCTGAGTCCTTCCTGAGCCCACCCACCATGGGACATGTGTGCTGTGGCATGTCCCCTTCTTGCCCATGCTCCAGGCGCTTTCTGAGCAGTTCAGCCAGCCTTTAGCCAATCCCAAGGGGGCTCCAGCAGCCGCTGGATTGGCAAGAGTCCAGGTCTGCCAAGTGGAGGGGCCACGTCACTCGCAGGAGTGCGGTGGTGGGCTGGGTGGTGGGCTCAGACCCCGCCCCTCCAGCCTGTTTCCCCACCCTACCCCCAAACTCCAAATACGCAAAGCGCAAGTGGGGGGGCATCACAGCGTGAGCCTCTCTACCCTCCAGGCCTCCCTCCCAGGAAGGCAAGGTTACCTGGGGCAGGAGAAGGAAAGCCAAAGTCGTTTCCCACAGCCACACTGCTGCTGGATTTGGATTTCTGGGACTCGTATTTCAAACGATCTGGAAAAGGATCACATTCCTGTCAGGACAGCGAGCTCTCTCCCAGTGGCACCCTGGGCCGAGATGCAGGAGGCTGTTGGGGGGGCCAAGCCCCCAGATCTCACATGACGCACACAAAGTATGTGCACACGTGTCTTCCAGCTCTCCAAGAACCAGCTGTACCATAGAAACTACAGCCTGACAGGCACCTGGAACGGGAGAACATCACACTTAGAAGGACACTGAGAGATCACACAGTCCAGTCCTTCATTTAAAAGGAAAGGCCCTGGGGCGCCCGGGTGGCTCGGTCGGTTCAGCATCAGACTCTTTCCACGAGGGTCATGATCTCGGGGTTGTGGGATTGAGCCCCACGTCCGGGCTCCATGCTTGGCAGGGAGTCTGCTTGGTATTCTCTCCCTCTCGCTTTGTTCCCTCCCTTGCACTCTCTCTCTCTCAAATAAATAATCTTTAAAAAATAAAATAAAATAAAATAAGAGGCGCCTGGGTGGCTCAGTCGGTTAAGCATCTGCCTTCGGCTCAGGTCACGATCTCAGGGTTCTGGGATAGAGCCCTGTGTGGGCCTCCCTGCTCGGCAGGGAGTCTGCTTCTCCCTCTGCCCCTCCCCCCTGCTCCTGCTCATTCTCTCTCTCTCTCTCTCAAATAAATAAATAAAATAAAAGGAAAGGAAAGGCCAGGCCCTGAGACCCCCAGCACCTGTGCTGCAGAGCTGGGGCCAGCCTTCTGCCTGCACACCTTATTCTTCCCCAACCATACACTGTCAGTCACATACACACACATACACACTCCCACCGGGACCCTCACTGTACCCCCCCACCCAACACACTCCCACCCTGAAGGGGAAAGGCAGCCAGGCTGGGGAGGAAGGTCCCCAGCCAAAGACAGCTGAAACTGCCACAACACCTGGCAGCCCCTGTCCTGACATCCTCTGCTCGGGGAGGCACCCACGGACCCAGCTCCAGACACGTCGGGCCAAGGCCAATGCCTGGCACACAGCAGATGTGCAGGAGCGAAGGAGAGGGCCCACGAAGGCACACCTGTCTTCCTCTGAGTCCCGGGGGGCGGGGGGAGGGGAGAAGGGTTGGCTGGTGACTCGTGTCCCTGCTGGCAGAATTCTGGGGTTCCCACAGGGTAACTTGGTGGGGGCCGTGTATCAACAGGACCGAGGCCACGTTGGCCTCCAGCTCAGTGCCTCTTCTGAGCCCCAAGGCTGAAGCCGACTCCAGCTCCCTTCCCCAGCCACAAAGGAGTGGCCGAAGTGCCCCCACCCAGGGCACCACCTCTCTCCAGGGCCAGGAGGAAGTCCCGGTTGCGCTGCAGCTCCTTCATGAACTCCTCGTTCTGCAGGAAGAGCGCAATTCTCTCGTCCTCCAGGTACTGCTTCCAGCGGTTCTCCTGGTCCCGGGTACCGGGCCCAGCCACAGAGGGCAGGCCTCCCTCTCCGCTCCTGGGCTTGGAGCCCCCGGGGTTACCCTGAGGAGGGGAGCAAGAGAGTTGAATGGTTGCTCACCAGGGCACATGCTGCACAAACATCCATGCATATCTGGGTGCCCACATGTCCTTTCCCAGGATCCTCCAGCCGCACCCTGGGGCCTGGGCCTGCACCTGCTATCGGGCTCTAGTGGTCAGCCAAAATCTAACTTAGCAGGCCAGAGCCGTCTCTGCTGGGGAAGCGGAAAGGGCTTAAAAACAATGTTTCCTCCCCCTCGGACCACCCCAGCCCTCATCTACAACCTGAACTGTCCTGGAAAGTGATCGGTAAGCCGCTCAATAGCTTGGCTAGCGCCACATGGAGGCCCAAACTCAAAACTCTCCCTGTCCTAGCTGTGTCAGGGTGAGGCCCCCTTCCTGCAGGGCCCCTCAGGCCCTGCCCACATCGGGGGAGAAGCTGCCCCTGTCCCTATCCCATGGGAGGGTGGGGAGGCGGCCGGCCCCTCTGCCATTGGCTTCCCCCGTGCCCACCTCCCTCCAGCCTGGGGCGATGGCTGCAGCCACAGACTCCTCCTTCCAGTCCCCTTCCCTGGGTGGAACAGGAAACCTCCAGGCCCAGACAGGAAACGAGGCTTTCGGTTCAGCATTCTTTCCCTGCGAACCCAGGGCAACAGAAATAGCCCGGCGCAGGCTTAAACATCAGGAAGTGAAATGGGCTGGCACAAACTGGGGCCAAGCAGAGATGCCGCACAGGCAGCCGGGGGCCTCCCCCATTACCTGTATGCTGTCCAGCTGCTGGGGCAGGATGCGGAGAAAGTCCTCGGGGAGGTTGCCCAGCAGGGGTGGGTTCCAGTTACGATAGCGCCTCTGGCTCGACACGGGTCCAGAGCCCAGCACGTCGATGCTGGAGGGTGAAAGGTAACCACGAAGAGGGAACAGTCAGGCCCAAACACAGGAGGCGCGGCCCATCCCACCAGGATCCTGCTCAGAATGGCATTTCTGCTCTGAAGCTTCCCACGGCCTCCTCGGCCTCCAGGACAAAGGCCTAGCACTCTCTCTCATCTTCCAATCAGGCCTCTGCTAACCTCAGCCTCTGGCCGCAAGGCCCGGCTCCTCCAGCTCCAGGACAGTCACTGCTCTCCGGCTACTCCGGGCCCTCAAGGTCTCTAGGCGTAGAGCCCTCAGTGTTCATGGCGCTCCAGCTGGCTGTCCTGGGTTTAGATGTTTACGAATGTCCTCTAAAGACAGCAGGTGTGTCCCTAGCACCCAGCACAGTGCGAGCTCACGGCTGCTGAGGAACAGGTGCGCTCCCCATGACCAGACCCAGCAGACACCAAGCCCGGCCTGCCTGAATGTTGGTTTGCTGGGGTGGGGGGACATGGGGATGGCGGGACCCCTACAGAGTAGAGCCGATCCAGGCTCTAGTTCCGGCTCAGTCACAGCCAGCTGGGTGGTCCTGGGCAAGACCCTGCTCCCCTCTGGGACGGAGTTTCTTCGGAAAAACCGTCTCCCTGCCGAGGTGGGCAGGAGCCCCTCGTGAGGCTGTGTCTCGGGCACTGAAGGTGGGGATGGAAAGGTTCCTGTTGCAAGGGGTGCTCAGGAGCAGCTCTTCATAAGCAAGGTGCCTGGCCAGAGGTCCGTGGGCCACAGGCAGAGGCCATGGCGGGGGTGGGGGGGTGGGGGGTGGGGGGGGTGGAGCGGGGACAGAGACAGGAAGAGAAGTGGCATCCGGGGCCTGAGGGCAGCCCGGGGCCAGGCCAGGAGCTCCCCACAGCGCCTCGGCAGCCTGCAGCGTGGCAACCGCAGGACACGTGTTCTGCTGAATCAGGGAAATGACACACGCAGAAGGCAGCGGGGCCGGGGGCGGCGGGCCGGCCGCTCTCGCCCGGCTTTGATTTGTCTCCAGCTCCAGGAATCCCGCCCGCCCCCTCACTGGAGGGGAGCTTTTCCGGGCTGCCGCTGACTGTGGAAATAACTTCCTTTCCTTTTCTATTTTGGGCGGGTGGCCTGGCAGGGCGAGGGGGGGCGGGGGCGGCGGCAGACGGGGATGACAAGCTGCTAAGTGCGTGGTGGGAGCCAGGGGAACCCGCCCGCCTCGTCCACCCTCCCAGGGCACAGGTGAGGGAAGGCTCCAGAAGAGCCTGCATCGTAAACGCAACCGGGACTCTGTGAGTCCTAGGCAGATCTCTCTCCACATCACTCTGCCGCCTTCTGTCACTGTTGGAGGCTTCACTTCTCCCAAGGGCCCAAGGCGGGGGAGAGGGTGCCCCCTCTCTTAGGGACTCGGGGACCACCCGTGGTTGGCCCCAGCACAGAGAATTCCTCTCCGGGGTCTTCCCCTAGGACCCGGGTACCCACTCCAACTCAACCACACCTGGAGCCACCCGGGAAAGTGCGGAGGGAGAACCCCAGAGTTGCACTGGGACCCCTCTAGCCATTTGTTACTGAGTCCAAGAGGGGAGGGGGACAAGGAGCGGGGGACCCCTCCTCATCGTTTCCCTGGCGGCTGGGACTGTGGTCCCAAGGAAGGTCAGGCCCAGCCCCTCCCGGGCCCCCGGCAATGGCAAAGGCAGAGATGAGGTCAGCCACAGCTGCAAGAGCCTGGGGGAGGGGGGGGGGCCCTGAGCCCAGGCGGCCCAGGCAACTCCATTGTGGTCGGAAAGGAATGTCAGAAATGAGCTGAGAGGCAAATAAAAAACTTCCAAGACTGTAATTTCAACAGGAAAACGGCAGGTGGCCTGTGCTGAGGGGTAGCTCTGGGTCTCAGAGACCTCCTTCATTCCGGAAAGAGAGGGGAGGGCAGGCTGGGAGGCTCTCCTGGCCCACAGCCTGGACACCAGGACCCCAAAACTAAAACTTCACGCCCCATCAGACCCCCAGGTTTACCCATGGCACATCAGACCCCAGAAGGATTCAGACATGAACCTTCCAGGCAGGATTTTTGGTAAAGACTGGACACTGAGGCCCAGAGAGAGTCAGGCCCTGTCCAGGGACACACAGATCGTGCAGGCAAAACCTGGGCCCAGGGGTCCTGACTTTTCAGGCACTCACTTCTGGGGTCACCCCAGCTCTCTATTGTCTTAGCAGGGCAAGCTCCCAAGCCCCACGCCATCTGCAGTCCCTCAGGCGACGGGAGGTGGCAGAGGGGCCTGGCCCCCAGTAGCCAGAGATTCTAAAACACTAACCGGATCCTGTCACTCTCCAGCTTAAGCCTGCTGACTGCAGGATAAAGCCAAAGCTCCTCAGAGGACCCACAAGGCCCCCATGATCAGCTCGCCTCTCCAGCCTCACGGCCATTCCATTTCCTGGAGTTCCGCAAAGCTCCTGGATGGTTCCCCCTCTTCTGCCTCCTGGCCTTTGCACATGCTATTTCCATTGCCTGAAATGCCCCCCTGTCCTCTGCTTCACCAGGACACAGTGTGGACATGAGTTCCTCTAGGCAGACTTTCTTGCCTCCAGTTCTATGCCTCTGCCCAGCCTCTGATGTCCTCAGGGGGGCAGGGTAGTATACTCATCTCAGCATCACACACATCGTTCAGCACCTGCATACTGCAGGAGACTCAGTAAATGCTGGAAATGAATGTTCTGGATAGAGAGACTGAATGAGGCCCTAGAAATGGCCTACGAGTGGACCTGGCCTAGCAGGGCCATCCTGGGGCAAAGGGGCACATGCTCAGAGCCTGGCCCTGCTTCTTCTGAACACTGGCCTCTGAGGGAAGCCTCACCACTGGTCTCAATATTCCATGTTAGAGCTCAGAGGCCAGCTGCGCAGCCTGGGGTGGGAAGGAGCAGTCAACCACAGGTGACAGGTCTGATCCCTGCCTGGGACTGTGCTAAGTGCTCCACGCATAGTATCTCGTTGGATCCTCACAGCACAGCACTGCTGAGCTGGGGATTAGTATTCCCATTCCACAGGTGAGGGGAGAGAAGCTCAGAGAGGTTAAGTAGTGAGCCAAAGGTCACACAGCCAAGCACCTAAAGCATCAGAAGCTGGGCAGCTGAAAGAAGGGGGTAGGAGAGCACTTTTCTTTTTTCTGACTCTACAACTCAAGTTCTCTGCCCTGTATCCTCCCCACGTCCAGCAAAGCTTTCATTGCCAGGTCAGGGTCCCGAATCTCAGGCCTCTTAGGCCTTGATCTAGGGCTGAGGTCACCCTGCCCCCAACGGTGGCTTCCATCCCCGAGCTGCACTGCGCCTGACCTCACAGCAGCTGTAACACCCAGCCAGAGGGGCAGAGGGAGGATGGGGCCTGGGTACCCATGCCAGGTTCACCCTGGGATTCTGTCTCTTATGGCCTCAGGTTTCCCTTCTGAAAAACAGGCAGAACCACTTTGCCTAGTAGAAACTGGAGGTTTTGTAAAAGCATCTTGGAATATTAAAAAAAAGTAATAATAAGTCAAAGGTAAACCACTTAGCCCTGGGCTCCATGACCCATGCCAGGCCGCAAGTCCTGCCAAGGCCTCACCCAGACCAACCCATGCCCTCCCTGCCTCCCACCCCACTGGAGCCTCCTGGTACCACCTGCAATAAAGGAAGGACCCCAGGTCTGCTCCTGTCCCCGACTTAAAACATTGTTCCCTCTGTCCTGTGACCTTCTAGGCCTCCATCAGCTCCCTGAGCTGCAGTCGCAGAGAATTTTCTCATTAGGGAGGTGACAGACACAGCAGCGAAGACACTGGTTTTGGAATCAGAACGGCCTGAGTTCACAGCTCAGCTCTGTGGTGTTGGGAAAGTTACGAAACCTGGCTTAGGCTTACTTTCCTCATCTGTGAAATGGGGACGCTGACAGTGCTCTCATAAGCCGTTCAAGGATTAGAACATGACAGTGTATACATAAAGAGCCTCACTGGTTCCCAGCACTTGGTAGCTGGTGGCTGGGGTCATTACCCCTACCTGCATAGCAGAGGTCTCCACTACCACGGCCTGAGGTGCCCAAGATCCCCAGAAGGAAAGATCCACTGGGACTAGTCCCCTGTCCCATCATTTCCCCCCAACTCCTCAGCACCCCAGCGCTGAGCCATTCGAAGGAACTGCAGCTCTAGCACAAAGAGACGCCCAGGCTCCAGCAGTCCCACTACAAACATGAAGCACAGAAAAGCGCCTCAGAGACCGCGGGACCTGGCTGGCAACTGGCTTCATGTTAACCCTCCAGATTACAGAGCCCCTCTCACCTGGAAGAACTCTCCCAGGACCCTGCAGTCTATTCCTCTGCCTCCACTTATCAAACTATCCTGGAAAAAAGACTTACTTGCTCCCATTGCCTAAAAATCCCCACAACACCCCTAGACCAGGGATGGCAAATAGGTATCCATCCCGTCAATTACTGCTGACTGTCTGGGAGGTGCTGTGTGGACGGGGACTCTGAAGTTCTGTCTCCACTGAGCAGGAAAGAGCCCAGTGGTCGATTAGCAATGTGTTCCATGGGCTCAGCGCGGGAAGTGTCTACACACTCCCTGTGTTCACTTCTCCCACTTGCATGGGCCTTGACTGTGAGATCCCAGAAGGCAGCGCCACGCCTTATGTAACTCCGTGTCCCATATCATGTTCCGCGAAGCACCTAGCAATATTCAGCGAATGTTTGCCCTGGCAATCCTTCCCATGTGGAAGTTCTCCTTGGTATCTAGCTACAATGTCTCTTGCTGCAGCAGAAGCCTGCTCTTGGTGGAATAATATCCTGAGGGGTCCAGCCAAGTTTTCCACGGCGTTTGTACTCAACCCAAGCCCCTGATCCCTTTCCCCCACCGACCTGCGCTCCGAGAGGAGCCGGGTTCTCACCGGGGAGGTGGTGTGGGGGGAGCCAGAGGGTAAGGCCTGTCGAACATGTGCATGTGATAGGCTGGCGGGGAATAGACAGGTGGGGGTTCTTCATCAGAGCTGTCAGGCTCCAAAGTCCTTTCCAAGATCTAGATCAGAAACAACAACAAAAAAAGACATGTTAACAATCCTTCTCTGAATTTAAATAACATTCAGACAAAAGCCAGGGGGGGCAAGGGTGCGTCGTAAGGGAACTCTGTGTTGCCGTGGGAGTGTAAATGGATAGGGCCACCACTTTGCCAAATTGTTTGGTTTTCTGTAAAGCTGAACGCATGGCTGCCTCTGACCCTACAATTCCAACATACTCAGTGGGCATGAAAGCACACGTCCCCAAAAGAATGTTCATCTGAGCAAGGTTTAAAAACAGGCCAAACAAATCACGGGGCTAGAAGTGAGAGCAGGAGGACCTCTGTGGGGGTGCAGCAGGCCGGGACGGGACACCAGGGGGGATTCCAGGCTCTGTGGATGTTTCCTGACCCCGGGCGCTGGGGCAACTTCATTGAGCTGCACACGTATGGTTCGCGTACTTTTCGGGACATGGGTTACTTCTGATAAATAACTTCAACATCATTCGCACTCTCTCTCAAAGTACCTCCACGTCAATTATCTCACCTGAAGTCAAACAACTTGGCAAGGTAGGATAGAGTTCGTTACTCCCATTTTATAGATAAGGAAACTGAGGCCCAGGCTAAGTGACATGGCAAAGCCATATGCTCTCTTTAGAACTCAGTCTTCAAATTGGACATGGTCTCCACAGCAAGGATCCGTCCTTCAAGCACAATCCCCACACACCCTGGTTGGATTCTTAGGGCGGACAGTGACAAGGGGAGTACCCAGGATGCCTCTCCCTCCTGGATGATTCTCTTCATCCAGAAACCAGAAAGAGGGGCAGGGAAAAGCCAAGGGCTGGGCAAGGCCCAGAGTTCCTGCTCCGTGGACTGACCTGGATCCTTCCCCAGGGAACCACAGAGGAGTCTGGGGCAGGAGGCAGGAGGTGACCATCAACCAGGAGATCCCAGGTCGGACACACCCCAGCTGGCCTACACCTTAGCTTCCTGCTCCCTGTCCTCTGCTCCCCACTTCTGTGCCATCTCTTCCAAGACCAAAGAACACGGGAAGGGCTCAGAGGCTGTCAGTGGGCCCCAGAGTCCCCAGGCCCTGCATCTTAACCCGGAGTGAGTTAGTGGAAGTCATGCTAAACTCCTTCTGCAAGCCTGGGCGGGGCCGGGCCGCACTGGCACCTGTCCGCCCTGAGCCCACCCCACCCGGGCACCCAGGTCTCGCAGGGACACCCTGGCAGGTGGGCAGGTGGGCGGCACACACACAAGAGCGTCCATGCTCTCACACACACTGCCACACTTTGTGCATACGCAGCCAGCAGCCAGCCCGACCCAAGGAGGCCTCCCGCCCCTGGAATGCACTAACGTTCCTTCCTTTCAGGCGGAAAGTATTTAAACAGATGCTTTTGCAGAAAAAGAAGAATGTAGCTGCTTTGTGGGCCACTGCTCTGCTTAGCCCAAATTTCCACAAGAAAAAAGAAAGAGAGAGAGAGAGAGGGAACACTGCAAGCTCCAGTCCAGTTCACTGGGGAACGTCGGGTACCTGGCACAGGACAGGGGCTCAGCAACTACCTGGCGCACAGTGTTGTTTCTGCTCCCAGCCCACACTCCCTGCCTCTCAGACGCTGCAGCTCTGAGGGACAGGGTTCACGACTGGGGCCTTGAGGCCAACTTCTCCTTCAGTGGCTGGTGTGAGGGAGATGGGTGAGGAGGGGAGAGCTGTTTCCTGGGTGAGGAGGGGAGAGCTGGAGTCTTAGGCCGAAGGAAGCTGCTTGGGGTTTCCTAGGCCGCGGCCTGTAGCCTTCTGCCTCCAGACTCAGGGAGATCAGGCCTCTGTGCTGCTGCCCCAGGAGGCCCCCCTCTCCTCACGGCCGCTCCTGTTCCTCAGAGCAGCCTCCTGGGGCTGCAAGAACCAGACGTTCATCAGAGGCTCCTGGAGCAGAATGAGGAACCGCCAAGGAGGCAGGCAGCGGGCCAGGCACGCTCCAAAAAGGCTGATCCCGAGTCTCCAGGGAGAGTAACCCCAGCCGTGTTCCTGGCCTCCCTCAGCCTCTCTCCCCACAACCCCGCCAGCCACAGTGAGGTTGTTCTTCTGGCTCTAAGGGTGCTGAAGTCTTTGGCTCTGTGGCCCCTCGGCTTCACTCAGCGTGGGTGATGGATGCCTGCCAGGTGCTCCAGGGACTAGGGTCCAGGCCACGGATCTGACAGGAGCTATTTCTCTGTGGCAAGGATGCTCCTCGGGCCAGCCCACCATCCATCAGCCGCCAGCGAGGGGGCTTTTTCCAGTCAGCAGTTAGTGTCATTCCAGCTGCTCATAAATCTTCTGAAGCACTTCCCGCTACCTCAGGAACTGCCTGCCGATGTGCCAAGCAGAGCCCCAAAGGTGGGCGTTTGGGGCAACAGCCACGGAGGGATGATGAGAAGGGGCTCAATTTGGAAAGCAAGAGTCTCAGAAAAACAGGAGCACGCCTAGTGCAGGCCTATAAGGGGATGGTGAAGACCCGTGGAGATTCACAGGCCCGTGGGTGCCATGGACAAAGGAGGAAAGATTATTCTACCCTACCTGCCAGACTGCAGAATCAATGAGATCGCAGAAAGGGTCAGAATATGCAGAATACTTTCCTTCCAGCTCACACTTAAAGGATGTATTTGCAAACACACACACACACACACACACACACACACACACACACACTCACCCCTCCTTTCCACAAAGAGGATCTGGGTTTTCTGAGACTCCTTCCATTGGCTAATCCAGGCCGTTCAAAGGAGTGGTCTCCCAAAGAAAGAGACTAAAGAAACCTGTGCAAAGACAGGAACAACACTTATTCACTCAACGAGCGTTCCCTGGGTGCCTGTTACGTGCCAGGACTGTCCTGGGTGCTGTAGGTGACACGGGGAGGAGGCAGATGTCATCGCCCACGGAGCTTCTCCTCCACCTGGAGGGAGAAATCGCAGGCACCACCAACTCAAGGAAGAAGGGCCAGTGGCCTCGCCCTGCAGGAGGACTCCGGCTGACAGAGAGTCCTCACTGCCTGCAGGGCTGTGTTGACCAGGAATGTGAGGGCATATCTGGGTCTAGGTTTTCCTTGTCAACGAGGGTAATAATAATAATAATAATGCCGCCTCACAAAGCGTATGAGGACGGATACATCCGAAGCCTGTAGGATGGTGCCTGGCACAGGATGGGACTCAGTGAAGAGCAGAGTTAAATGCCATCTGCTGGGCCCTTCCGTCCTGTCCATGGCCACATGTCCCACATGTCCCTTCTCACTGCCCTGCAGGCAGTCACCCGACCACAGAAAGCCTCTGTGCACCCCTTCTGCACCCAGCACGGCAGGTCCTGCGGAGACCGGGGGTCACACATTTACTGGACTCCTGGAGGGGCCTGAGGCAGCAGGGAGGTCCCTTCTCCCCCAGCGACCTGGCTGAGAAAGGAGGGAACTGCTCGGGCACTGCCTGCTGCCGCCTCCATCAATGCCTTGGTCAGAGGAATTTAACTAGGATGACGGAGGTCCCTCCTCTTTTGGTGGCTCCCTACGCTCTCTCTCCACGGCCTGGCCTTCTCAAGTTCCCAGTCTCTGCCGGCTCCGGGGATCCTGACAGATGGTCCCGCTGCGGGCTCTGTCTCACCTCTGAGGCTTTGCAGGAGCGCTTCCCTCCGCCTGCAACCGCCTGTCCCTCACTCCCTACTCTTTCTCTGGGCCTCAGCTTGGCTATCCCTTCCTCTGGGAAGCCATCCTCCTCTCCTCCCACTTCTCCCACTGTAAGCGTTTACCACTCTCCCAGCTACCATTGCCTGAGTCTTGTGAGCTCTGTGGCCACGGCGGACACCCAGAAGTGCAAAAGGAGCCTTTCCAGGAAAACACAGGCTAGAGGGCCCCAGCCTGGAACTGGACTTCACTATGTTGGGGTAGGGCCTGAGTGTCTGCATTTTTAACAAGCTCCTCAATTCTGATGACCCCTGAGCAGGGTCTAGTACCATGCGTGGCACACCACCGAGTAGGGGCGCCGTGTTTGTTGAATGACTGCATGATCTCTGCCCATAAGAGGCCACTGACCGGCTTGGGTACGGGGTTCCTAGGAGAAAGGGGCTACTGGCGAGTTAGAAGTCAGGCAGGGCTAACAACCCAAGTCCCCTAAGAGGTTCAATCAGCGCTGGGCCTCCCAGTGAATGATGGGGGTGGGGGGCCGCGCCCCTACCTCCGGGGGGATGCTGTCTTCCGAGTCTGAGCTGTCCTCGTAGACGCTGCCGCCACCGCCCTCCAGGTTCATCTGCAGCAGCTGGTCGATGGTGGCGTCCACGGCGCCGCTGTTGGCGCGCAGCACGCACTCGATGATGTCGTAATCCATGTTGGGGAACATGGTCTTGAAGTCGTCCATGGCCTGGTTGAACTCGAGGCGGCGCACCTGGCGGGCGGGCCGGCTGTTGTTGAGCTCCTGCGAGGCGGCACCGGTCCCGGCCCCGGCCCCGGCCCCGCGCGCCCCCGCCGAGCCGCCCCCGCCGCCGCCCCCGCCGCTGCTGCTCCGGCGGAACAGGCTGGTCATTTTGCCGAGCCGCTGGGGGAGAATGTTTGCGGCCGGCGCCGAGCCCCTGCCCCCGGATCCCTGCGCCGTGGCCGCTCGCTCGGTGGGCTCGGGAAGCTCCCTCCCGCGGCTCCCGCTCCGCTGGGCGGCCAGGCGGGGGCGGGGCGCGCGGGGTCGCCGGGTCGGGAGGCTAGGGCGCGGGGCCACCGGCGGCCCTCGGGGAGCGGCCCTCGCGGGGCGGCGGCATCCGGGCCTGGGCCTCTGGTCATCCACACCCCCGGGGCATCCTGGGGCCGACGGTCCCACCTGAAACAGAGGGAGGGCAGAGTCAGGGGCGGGATGCCAGGGGCATTGGAGAACCCGAATGCACGGGAGAACCGCTTCTTTGTGCTTTCTCTCCAGCTGCAATAGTCAAAACAGCCAGGGTTCTGTCCTAGCACAGGACTGCTACCTGTGAGCGAGGGCTTACTCCGGGCCGGGTCCTCAGTGTGCTGGGTGGGCTGACTCCTGACGCCACTATGAGGTAGGTGCTAGTATCTCCATTTCGCAGGTAGTAAAACTGAGGCATAGATGTGGAGGAATTAGGATTTGAACCCAGGACTATGGACACTGGTCTCAGTCACTACTCCTACTGCCCAGGAGCCCTGAGGACCTGAGGCAGGAGGGGCGCTGTACAGGCCCCAGTCTGCCCTCTGGTCTCCAGCCCACCCCAGTCTCTGCTTCCCACATCACCGTCCCAACTTGATGATGCCAACATCATGGCCTCCAATTTGTGGAGAGTGCCATTAAATCTGCGACAGAAAACTGTCCAGCCTGCTCACAACTAAGCACGTAAATCACTACCAAGGTCACATTTTGTTAGTGCAGTCAACTGAGAGTTGAATGTGTCTAAAAACCTCAAATTCTGACTTCCTCGTGCTTATCCCAAAATTAGTAATTTTGTTAATTGTAGAAAAGTGGCAGCTTTAAGGGACCGTTCCATCAAAGGATGTTTCCTAAGTTCCAAAGTTTGACACAACAGGTGCAAAGCTATTTTCCCTTTTCTAGGACTTGGGGTCATCATCTTAACAGCTGACATAGAACATTCGTGTGAGCAAATCAGCGTGATGCTCTTGCTTGCCATGATCTCAGCCATCAAACAGCCGATGGTGTAAGAAGGACGAGAGCAGAGGAGTGTGGAAGGTGCAGTAGATGGGCTCTCACTCACCCCAGGGTCAGAAGATCCAGCGCTACCATTGATTCCGTCTCTTTCGGTCAGTCCCTGCCCAGGTCGAATGAGACTGCATATTGTTCCCCAGGGCCACCATGCTGAGCTTCTAACCTCCTTCAAACCTCTGACTCCTTAGAGGGATGTGGAAATTGTCCAGGGCTCCTGTTCTGGGGCTTGTTGGGTGGGCGTCTGCCCAGTCCCAGAGAGGTGGGCTGTATCGAAGAATGGAAAACTAGGGGCGCCTGGGTGGCTCAGCGGGTTAAGCAAATGTCTGACTTCGGCTCAGGTCATGATTTCAGGGTCCTTCGATTGAGCCCTATTGGGCTCTCAGTGGGGAGAAGCAGACTCTGTGCCAAGCTGGGGCACCTCCTCCGCTTGGCAGGGAAGTGCCCCTATCCCTGCTTGTTCTCACTCTCTCTCTCAAATAGATAAAATATATATTTTTTAAAAAAGAATGGAAAACTAGAAGCACTTGGGCCCCATGCAGCCTCTGGACACTGATGTTACAGAACTATAATCCCTCCCAGCTTCTGGAAAATACCTATTAATACTCTGGTTTATCTGTCTACATCTAGATACTTTCTCTATGCATCCACTACCGTATGTATGAATTTTTTTTTTACAGAAATTCTATGCAACTTGTTTTTCCACTTAATAATTTGTTGTAGCCATCTTCTCGTGTCAGAACATATAGAGCTACTGCACCATTTTTCATGCCTGAGTAGTATTCTGTTGACTGGGTGAAGCATGATTCATTACCCAACTCCTTCCATCCCCCTGTCTTCCCAAATGACCAACTCACAGCCCAGGGAAGCCAAAGCCATTTTACAAGGAGACATAGAGGGGTGACCTCAAATGGTCAGTCCTAGAACTGTGATGAAAATGAGCACAGGAAGGTAGCCAAGTATGACATGGCGTTCCACAGCCGGCTTTAGACACCCCAACCCCCACGTCCAAACCCCTCCACGACCCCTGCCACATCAGAAGGTCAGAGGATGCGCTGATTCTGCCAGAACTCTAACCCTCGAGCCGTTGCCTTTGTCCCGGGCTCCGGAAACCTGCGCTGCGGCCTCTGACCAAGACCTCGGGGGCACGAGGCCCCAGAAGCCAGTGCCCAGGGCTGCCATCTGCTATACTGATGTCATCATACATACAGGTCAGTGCCTTGTGCTAACACCCTCTCTGGAGTAAAGCCACCTTCTCGCTGCCCTGCAAGTAATTTAAGAAGAGATAGAGGGACTTGGCTCTCACTTTGCCAAGGGCAGACCCTGGAGAGAGAAGCCAGCACCTGACCCTCCTTCTTCTGGATGAAGAAGAAAGATGATGGGGTCCATATTTCCCCCATTAGCAGGCCCCTGGATCGGCCCCTCGGGCTGTGAGTGTCAGGAAGGCCCTGAGAGGCATCCTCACCCCCTGCCGTTTACGGGAAGCGCAGGGTTCAGAGCCAGGCTGCTGTCCCTTGCTCTGCCCCTCCCTAGCTGTGGGACCTCGGAGGAGTGTCCTCCCCTCTCTGGGCCCAGTGCCCTCACATGTATTTATGGGACTTCGATGAGAATGAAACAAGATCACCCCCCACACGGTGCCTGGAACATGGCGAGCTGCCTGACTGGTGTTGTCGCTGCCCCAGAAGGCTGGAGAAGAGCCAGGAGCAGTCGGGACACCAGCCAAACTCTTCCCCAGAGTGGCTGGGGTGGGCGAGTCCTCCAGGCCTTAGAAGAAGTACTGATCCTCGAAGCCCCAGGGGAGGCTGGCTGGCCTGGGCAGCTGGAGACACCACAGGTCAAGCCACCTCCTCTTCCATTACCCCAGGTGCGAAGCCTGGAAAAACAACCTGTCCTGTGTGCACCATGATATGGCATGGCTGACAACTCTGGGCCAGCCCCATAGCCTGCTCTGCACGTCAGACGAAGGCGCTGACAACCCAAGACTTGTCAGAATGACTCAAAGACATACGGCCGGTAGTGGCCAAGCCTAGACTTTCCCATCACAGCTCATCCTGTGGATGAGGAGCAAGTGGCTCAGAAACGCTAATGGGAAGTGCGAAGAAACAGAAATACCATCTCCACAGGACTCTGCAAGAACGCACAGACCCCAAAGCCAAGCTGCCTACAATTAGCACCAGGTGGGGCGACACAGCACCCCCGCCCCCCTTGAGGACCATCCCTTGCTAAGCTCAAGTGCAGAGCGTGAGGCCAGGGTTGAGGTGGGCCAGCATGGCTGGAAGCAGGGAGAAGGGCTGTCCTCGGGGTCAGTGTCATCCATGCCAGGCTGCCTTTTGCAACCAGCATGGCTCAGATGAAAAGCAATTTAAAACACACGGAAGAATTAAGGCAGGCAACTTCGGTTTACGAGCTTGTGCCAGGCGCTTTCACATTTAATCCTTATTACAATTCCAGAGATAGACATTATTGTCTCCGTGTCACAGCTGTGGAAACCAGTTCAGAGAAGTCAGGTAACCTGCACAAAGTCACACAGCCAGTACGTAGAGAGGCCAGAATTAGGAACCCACCTCCTAGGAGCCAAAAGTGCCCAGTCAGGCTTGGAGGGCTAGGAGCCAAGGAGCCTCAGAAATGCAGCCACGTGTAGCCCAGGCTCAGAATGCTGGGCACAGCCTGGCTGACATTCCAGCAGAGGAGATGTGACCTAGACAGCACTGGGGGAGGGGTGTCTGTTCGCCAGGCCCCAGAGCCGGCTCTGTGACCTTGGGGAAACCGCTCCACCTCTCTGAACCCCAGCTGCCCGGTGCTGGCAGGACAACAGAGGGAGATAACCCCTGACCCACTTCTGAAAAAGGAAGTGAATGAAACCCGTTGAGCCTGTTAGATGTCTTGGTCTTGGAGGCCAACTCCGCAGCAATCCCGAACTCTGGGCTGTGAGTGACCTGGGGACTTGGAAGCAGAAATCCCACACCTGTCCACCCCCAGGTCCCAGGGAGCCCGGCCTTCCGCCTCCCCATGAAGGAATCCGGGCCCGGGAGGAGGAGCACAGCAGCCTGCCAGTCCTCACTCCAAGTGTGAGGAGACGGCCAAGGCCTGAGTCACTCCTGGCCTGGCCCAGGGAGGTGGGCCAGCTGCCCGAATTCTGTTCTCCTGACCTTGCCCAAGGTCAGTCCAGCCAGCCTCCTGCAGGACCAGGTAGGGTCCACCCAGGAGATGTGAGAGCCCGGGAGCCAGAGTCCTGGGTTCCCCTTCTGACTGGGCCCAGGAAAGCCCAGTAAGGCTGTGTGGCTTGGAGAAATCACTTCGCTTCTCTGAGCCTCAGCTTCCTCATTTGTAAGAACAGGTGTAATACCACCTGGAAGGGATGTTGTGATGGAACTTACATGGGGGCCTAGAGCACCCGAGGAAACAGGTTGGTGTGGCCTCAGGCACAGGCCTTGGTCCTTGGCTACACTCACAGCCTGAACGATCTTATCCAGTCCGCTTTAAATACCATCTACAGCCGAATACAGGCTCCCAAATTTCTCTTGCCCAGAGGCCTCCTGGGAACACGCCCTTCAACTCTACAGTTGCACCGCTGACCTGCTGCCCCCTCTTGGATGTCCAATAGCAGCTCTGACATAAGGGGTCATCCGACCTCGTGGTTCCTTCCAAACCCACCCTGCTCCTCCCACCTTCCTCATCTCTGGGAACGGCAGCTCCACGTGACTCAGGCCCAAAGCCAGGGCGTCTCCTTGAGTGCTCGGATTCTCTTACACCCACACCCAGTGGCAGCAAATCCCATCCTTTCCTATCTTCAAAACCATCCCAGAACCCGGCCGCCCCTCACCACCTCCCCTGCTGCCACCCTGCCTGTCGGCGTCCCCCGTTGCCTTCCTACAGAAAACTCACCGTGGCGGTCTTGTCATTCCTCTGCCCCAACCCCTACCTTCCCTCCTGCCACGCCGCCCCCGTGGCTCCTCATGTCCTCAGAACACAACCTGCAGCCTTCCTGTGGTCTGCCAGGCCCCACACCGTCCTGCCTGGGCCACCTGCCTTTGCCGTCAAACCTCACTGTGTCCCCTCCCCTCGCTCTCTCTGGGCATCCTGGATCCTTGCTCATCCACTTGCAAGCCATGCGCGCTCCCATCCGGGGGCCTCCATCTCCTCCCAGATCTGGACATGCTGCCTCCCTCCCTTCCTTCGGGCCCCTACTCAAGCATAACCTTATCAGGCACCAGCCCTATCTGCCACATTCCCTCACCTCCTGCCCTGCTTTGTTCTCCTTAGGGAACAGACCACATGAGAGATTATTATATACTTCCTTGTCGTTGACCATCTCCGTCACCGGGAGGTAAGCTCCACGAGGGCCAGGCCTATGCTTTATTCACTGTGCTGAGTACAGCGCCTTCACAGGGCCTGGCACTGACAATGGAGATTTGTTAGGGGGATAAAGAAGGGAAAGGAAGAGGCAAGAGCACCATGAAATGTGGGTCACCTTCCCTTCCCTTCCTCCTCTGGCTCATAGCAAGGCGGGCGGTAGTGGGAGGACTTCTTTCCGTTTCCAAAGCCCTTTCTCTTCTACGGTCTCACTTAGTCCTCATGAAAAAGCTATCGTTTCTACGGGGGGGGGGGGGCATGCGTTATTATCCCACTTCACAGATGAAACAACTGAGGCCAAGGCAGTCAGTGCCATGGTAAAGGTCCCGGGAGCCTCCTGCTGCCCGGCCTGAGGGCCTCCTCCCTTACGAGGCACACAAGGCTGATGGCAGGATGGTCCCCTCGCCAAGTCAGCGTCAGCTCCAGGGGACAGGAAGTCAACCCCCTCCAAGATCTGACTTAACATTCCTCCTGCCACCCCAACCCTCAAAGGTAGGGGTAGAACAGGAGGCCTCAAGAAGAGACGTAGGAGGCCAGAGGTCCCAAATTGCCAGCACTTTCCTTTCCCCAACCCTCTCTCGTCTAGAAGGAGGAGGGACCGCCCGAGGCCAGCTCTGTCTCGGCACACCTCCGACTCCCTCCTCTGAAAACCCCCAGGGACAAGCCACACACCAGAGCTTGTGATCCGTCTGTAATTGCTGTGATCCCGCCCTGCAGAGGGGACTCACTGTCCCTTCTCGCCTCAGGTCTGGGCCCAGCCCAGTGGCACCGCCAAGCCAGGCCACTAGGTGGTGTCCCAAGGCTCAGGCCCCTGCTGGTCCCAGGGAAAGGGCTGGCAGAGCAGCTTCCCTCTGAGAACCCAAGAATCTGCCCCACCCCCACCTCGGACTAAAAAGGAGAGGAACCCCAGCAGCCCAAGGGTCTCAGAACCCAAGACTGGAAGGGTTTCAGAAGAACTTATTGTCCAAGTGGGAAACACAAGGCCCACACGTGCCACCAAGTTCTAGCCCCCGGCCTTGGCAGACGTGGCGGATCTATGCAGGTATTACTACTGTCCTGTGGAGCCCACAGAGCCCTTTAGCGGGTGATTGGAATCGGAAAGCTGGATGCACCCTGCTCCCCAGCCCTTTCTCTCCCGTATGAGAAGGCGACGGCCGGGCTTGCTTCGCCTCAACAGGAATCCCGGCTGCAAAAGCCAGCGGGGCCAGAATGAGGCCCTATGGCCCCTGGGACGCTTGTGTAGCCATGGCTAAGTCCTGGCCAGACCTCAGGTGGGTAGTGGCAGCGCTAACGGGGAGGCTGCCGGTCGAAGGGCGGCTGCATCCTTGTCCCGTTGTCACCTCGGTCGCCACGGGGGCAGGGCGCAGGGAGGCCGGCTGAGCCGCTGGGCTTCTGAGCTGGAGAGGCCGCAAAGGGGAAGGAGAAGGGAAGGTGGGGGCCCAAGAGACAGACAGAGGCCCTGGGGGTCTGCGCGTGGGTGGGCACGAGCGTGTGAGTGCGCGTGCGCGAGCGGCCGGGAGGGGGAGGGGCGGCGCTGACAGAGCCGCCTTGTCCTCCTGCCCCTGCACAGGCCTGTTCTCTTCCCAAGCTATTCATGTCGCCGCAGCTTCAAAAGCCGGGTGACCTTTAAATGCCGAGCCTCCTGCTCCTGCCCAAGGCGCGGAAAAGGCTTAATGGAAAACTCAACCGGCCACAGCTGCTGGGGTGACGGCGACAAAGCCAGCCTCATTCTGAGGGGACCAGGCTGCGGGGCAGCCACACCTGTGCCCACCTCTGGGGGCATGATGGGCACAGCCGGCGCGGAAAGGAGGCCTGGCCGGGCCTGAGAGGAGCAGGAGGAAGAGGGGGAGGCACCGTCTCAGCCCTGCCGTGTCCTGCTGTGTGACCTTGGGTTGCCCACTTAACCTCTCTGGGCCGTACCCCATCATTTAGTCCAATCTAAGCCTGGGGCAGAACAAAAGTCCCCCTTCCCAGAAAAAAAAATCTTTAAAAAATCTGTCGAAGAAAAAACAAGGAAAAGAAAGACATTTGCGTTCCTAATTTTTCTCTCTCTTTGCCTCGACGTCCATGGCCAGGTGTGTAGGCAACGGGAGCTCTACGGTAGGGCCTAGGGCAAGAGGTCTCGAAGGAAGTTAATAAGGTTCCTCATTCCAGTTGAAACCATCTAAGATGAAGCTCCTCGAGCATGAGTAACGTGGCATTCGTTTGGCCCCTCTTGGGAGGATACTGGTGATAGTGGTAATGATAACCTAACCCTGTTGCCCGTTTCTTTCTGAGCCAACCCTATTCCAGTGCCTTCTGCATGTTAACTCTTCTCATTCTCTCCCTGCAGCCCTGCAAGGGGCGTACTGTCACTGCGATTTCTACTTTGTGGATAGAAAAAGGAAGCACAGAAGAGTCCAGGGACTTGTGCAGGTCACACAGCTAAGTGGCCAAGGGAGGTCTGACTCCAGAATGGACGCTGTAAATCCATCCAGCTCCACTACCCCTCTGTGTTCCTCGAGCTGAGCACAGAGCCAGGCACGTGGCAAGAACCCAGGTAACCATGTATTGAATTGAGTCCTCCACGGGGCACAGCTGCCCTGGGGGAGGCTGGGGGTGCATGGGGCCCGTGTTGGGGGGGCAAGGGAAGAGGAAGGAGAAGTTTGCAGGCAAAGCCTCATCCTGAAGGAGGGACCATGGCTGTTTCCTTACAAAAACCTTTTCCCCACCCCCCAAGGTTGTTTAGTTGCCTGGACGACCAACTGTTTTCCACTTTGACCTGAGCCGCTTCAAAACTATTTCCACAACAATCCCTCTCTCCATCAACACATTCTATCAGCTTAGCCAAGACGCTCAACCCAGGAGCCTGCGAGGAGATCAAACCTCAGTGGACAGAAGGGGTGCTTCTCCCCACTGCTCTTACCCAGGGGCCGTAGCCCTGAGGAGCCCCTCTGGGCTGGCAGCAATGTGTGTCTACCTGGGAGCAAGTCAGTGGCCCAGAGTCAGGGAAGGGAGTTCCTGGCAGCTCAGGTGCAGGCCAGTAAACCTGGGCTGGCTCCAGGCGTGAGCTCATGCTGGCCCGGGGCCAGCTCCTTGGGAAAGGGGGGCCAGCGGCCCCTCCCTGGGCCTCTCCTTCAGGCAGTTGGGCTGCAGGTCCCTCCACAGGCAGGGCCTGCATGGTCTGGGGCTGAGCTCTCAAGTCTGGACAGTCCCAGATGTCTCTGGGCCCCTGGGACAGGTGCTCAGTCAAGGATGCCACACAATTTAGTATCTGAGCACGCCCAGGGAATCCAGGCCAAGGAACCAAGATTAGGGAGGGGTGCTCAGGGTGAGCAGGGGAGGGTCCTGGGAACAGAAGTCCGACTCTTGCCCTCTTCCCCTCACACTAACACGCACTGTGCACCCACCCACTGATCCATGAATCCCACTTCCACGGAATTCATATAATATGTATCATGGAAGACTATACAACAGAGAACAAAAATGAGGCCTCTGTATATGTCTCTCTGCCCACGACCTATGGCTAAGGGGAGCAATGCAAGGCCGTGCCGTACTATAGTGCGTTATGGTATGTGTGTGTCAGTATGTATGGAGAGGACATTCATAAGAAACTGATCCTAGAGGTTTCTGATGGAAGGAATTAGGTCATAAGAGACAGATAAGGGAAACTTTTCTCTGTAAATCTTTGTATATCTTTTAAACTTTGATTCATGTTCATTATCAATTTAAAAGGAAAATAAGCAGGGGCGCCTGGGTGGCTCAGTTGGTTAAGCGACTGCCTTCGGCTCAGGTCATGATCCTGGAGTCCCGGGATCGAGTCCCACCCACATCGGGCTCCCTGCTAGGCGGGGGGTCTGCTTCTCCCTCTGACCCTCTTCCCTCTCGTGCTCTCTGTCTCTCATTCTCTCTCTCTCAAAATGAATGAATAAAATCTTAAAAAAAAAAAGTAAAATAAGCAGATAGCCTATACAGAATAGCAAAATGAGAGCAATGCCAGTGATTTTTAAAATCTTTTTGCATGTGTATATTATCTACAACAGACATGAATCACTTTTGAATAATCATTATAGCAAACGTCTATGAGCGCTAACCATGTGCCGTGGACTTTCTAAGCACTTGGCATGCATTATCTCATCTAAGCCTCAAAGTAAAGCAATTATAATACCCATTTTACAGATAAGGAAACTAAGGCCCGGAGCGTTTAAGTAACTTACGTGGGGTCACACAGTCAGTGATGGAGCCAAAATGTGAATCCAAACGGTCTGGCCCCAGAGCCCATGCTCTTCTTAATCTCTTCCTTATCCTGTTTCTCTAATTAAAACAAAACAAAACAAAAACTGAATGATGACAGAAAAAAGTCTTAAGCAAAAAGCAAACTACAGAGCCTCTAGGACTTTAGAACTTTTGTAATCCTTAGAGTCCCAACTCCATCCTTCCGGCCTCTACTAGTCCAACAGGCCTTTGCCAGTCCTGCCTCAGTGGGAGCCAGGCACCACTCCTCCCCCAGTGCTACCTCCTGCTCAGGGGCCCGCCCACCTCCTGGTGGCCTCGCAGGGGAGAATGAAGGGCCGTGGGTAAGGTGGTGGCCGATGCCACATCTGTTCCAGAGGTCAGACCACAGCGTGTGGGGTCCTCCGGGGCAGGGCAGGGCTGGGTCTGGCCAGGCAGCTCCTTGCAGAGGGGAAACCACACGTTGGCTGTGAATGGTGCCGCAGTCTGGGCTAAGAGGCTGCAGAGCACAGAGGTTACAAGTGGAGCTTTAGCTCTGAGCCAACCTCAGCTTACATTCTGATCACCACTGCTTGGGTGAGTGGAGCTTCTCTGAGTGAGTTTCGTCATCTGTAGAATGGGATACCTGTTCCTCTGAGGACGGGTTCCTCTCCAGGGGGATTCATGCACTGGGCACACACAGGCTCCACACACATGCCCTCAGCCTGGGGCAGCTGTTAGGATCTCCGGGGCTGAGTCTAGAGCCTGGCCCAGGAGTCAGGCCTGGGCTTACGATCTTGAATCCAGCCCTGAAGGGGGACAGTGTGCAGCACAAAGGCTTCCCATCAGGGGCCTCCAGGACCTCATGTTGGGGGGCTCTGGGGCCCCTGAGTGGAGCAGGGAGCTGGACCAACAGCCCCATTCCTGCCCATACTCTACTATGCATCCTAGGGGAGAAGCGACTGGAATATACTGGGGCCTGGGTTGCCCAGGCCTCCCACTCCTCCTGGGGGCCTGCCCTCTTGGGGAGGGGCTCCCCGCCATCCTGGGGGGTGAAGGAGCACAAGCACATAAGCTGAAGTGCCGGCCTCTGGCAGCTGAGGAATGCAGGCCCAGGGCTGGGGAGCAGGGCCTTGGGGAGGGGGTGGTTGGCCCTGAGCTTCAAAAGAACAGGCAGCAGCTGTGGCTGGTAGGGCCTCGGCCCTCCCCCTCTGGCAGCCAAGACCCCATCAGAAATTCCACCCCAGCAAGAAAGGCCAGCCCAGACAGCAGATGGGATTGTTTAGAGCCACTTACCAGGCCAGCTCCTTTCCCCAACCGCAGGCTGCTACCCCCTCCTCGCCCTGGCCCCTTCGCAGTCTGTACGGCCGCAGAGCCCCCCCTCCACAGCCAGGGGAGCCCCGGAGCCAGCCGCCAGGCACCCCCTCCCGGCCTGAGGCCCTCCCCTGGCCACACCGCCTCACCAACACACAGCCACGTGCCCACCCGTGCCCTCTGGAGAGGCTAGGTTTGGACGGCAGGAAGAAATGTTCTCACTTCCAGATGGTGCCTGTTGCCAAAGGTCACAGAGCTCCTTGGCCTGCAATTTGATCCCAGCTGGGATTTGAACCCAGACTCCTGGGCCAGTGCACACACTAGCAACTCCAAAACAGCTCATGCGTCTGTGTGTGCAACACGCACCAGCTCACTCAGACCCGTTCACTCGCAAGGCCACGGGACACAACCAACCTTCATTAGGTTTCTCCTGAACACTCCCCTCCACCCCAGGTCCTCAGTCCGTTCCCCTCTCCACCTAACTCCGAAGCTGGGTTTTTAAAATTACAGCCACGCTCTCCTCCCCACTCACTGACGGCACTAACAGCCCACCGTGTGAGCCACTCCCTGCACTGGGCTGACGGCAGGGCCACTGGAGGCCCCCAGCCCTCTCTCTCTTCCCCATCCGTGCCCAGAATGGCTTTCACAGTGTCTGGGGCAGCAAAGGTGAGTTGAGGTTGACCTGACCCGCAGCAATGCTGGCCAGAACCAGAGGCACCGCCTTCCCAGTTGCTTGCAGGATCAGCGCCTGGAATGGAGCCCAGGGAAGGGCCTCGGGCTGGCGGGGCTGCCAGCCCTGGCCCTCAAATCTGACAGTCAGCGGAAGGAGGCGGGAACTCTTGAGGGTCCCATAACCAGCCTCCTTTGCCTCCAGGAGTCTGTCTCCACCTCTAGAGAATAGAAACAGCCCCTAGTGAGTCTCACCCTTCCCATCACTGAAACCCCCCAGGGATGCAAGGACATGGTGGGGTGGGGGGCGGATAAGGGCCAGAGAAAGGCACCACTCTACGAGGCACAAACCCATGACGTCTGCAGAAGGAGGTGGCCGTATCCCAGTCCCCCAGGGCTGGAAGGACTTGTGCCCTTTCTTAGCTACAGAACCAGAACCCCTTTCCACCCCCTTCCTCATATGAGACCCTCAGCAGAAGTCCCTCAGCCCTCCCCTCCCCCAGGAGTTACACATAATCAGAGAACCTGCTATTTACCGAGTGCTAGGCCATGCTGCCCGGGCATGGTGTTGGTTAATCCTCACGAGCTTCTAGCACTGTCCATCACTGCCTCCTACCAGTATCAGAGCCATTTTACTGAGTCATGTGTGACCCAGAGGTTGTCCAGGGCTGGGCCACATCCAACCCCCATGGCCTTATGTGGCAGAGACCAGTGCGCCTGTCAAATCTCCCGACACACTGGGTTCCTCGCAAGGGTTTTAAAGCCTGGGTTCAACCTCCATACTCTTGTCTCCTGAGCTGTTTATGTCTCTGCCTGTTCCCCCTCCTGCTACCAGCCTGCTCTTGGGAAATGTTAATGTGCTTTTCTGTCAGTCTCAGAAGCAAACACTCTTTGCATTAAAGCCGTGTATCTCAGAGGGTGGTGAGACTTCATCAGACTCCCCCGAGGTGTTTGCTAAAAACACATATTCTCCACCCCACTATTAAATCAGAATCTGGGGGGGGGGCTGGGAATCTGCTTTTTAACAAGCTCTCCGGGTCATTCTGATGCCCAGTAAAGCATGAGGACTCCTACCTCACAGGGTGATGCAATATAGAACTCTGGATTCTAGTTTTAGCTCCATCACGAACCAGCCGGGTGACCTTACGCAGGTCATTTTACCTCCCGGGCCTCCAGCTTCCCATCTGAAAACTGGGCAAGGAGGACTAAAATGATCTCCAGACCCCTCTCCCGAGTGACAGCCTCTGTGTCTGCCCTAAGTCCTCAGATAGTTCCCAGGTGTGTAACTGAATTTCCTGGCCTGCACACTGTAGACATACATTAAAGAGAGTCCATGTTGGATTGACTTAGTGAGAACTGCACAAATACCTTCTCTCTGGCTCCAGGCCCTAAACAAATGACTTTTGGATTATCCATGACACTTCCCCCTCCCCTGAGCATCTACTTGCTTCATTCCAGCCCAAGACGACCAGGATTCTATAAACACTGGGTCTGCACACCTGGGCTTAGTCAACAGTCAGCAAACAAAGGCTCTGCCAAATCACCCCACAAGCCCAAACTCGCACCCACTCTGTCTCTCAAGGGGAAGCACCCAGCCTAGGATGTGCGGACCCTGCATGCCCTTCCTCCCATCACAGAATGGGCATGAGGGGCTGGGTCGGACAGAAGGTATGGATAGAAGGCCCCAGCCTACAAGTGGGTTGCAAGGTTTATCCAGACTTAAGGGCTGTGAGGCAACAGCACGGGAAGCACCCAGCAATCGCTGGGACGGTCGAAAAGCAGCTAGACATTCCTTAGTCCCTGGGTTCCTTGATGATCACCCCTTAACACACAATGTACCTAGCAAGTGTTCAAGCATTGCTTGCTAGCGGTAAACATATGCTTGATTTGTCCTTCAAGGTCTATGTATACTTAACAGTGGAGCTGTGGGGATTCTCAGGCCCACAGACACAGGGTGACTTCAGATTCCTGCTACCTTTGTGGATGGTGAAGCTATGTGTGCTCCTGCGAAATTAACCAAGGGGTAAGGACGAGCAGGAAAGGCAAGAACGGAAACCCAACTTCTACAGTGGGACAGAGCCGGGAGTTCCAGCCATGGTCTGCTGATCCAACTCGTTGAAGGATACTGAAATAGATCATTTCCTCACTCTGAGCACGCCAACTGGCCCAGATGATGGTGCTTTACGTGTGCTTCGCACCTCACAGTTTACAATGACCAGGGAGGGGGTTGGGGGGTGGAGTCCACCAGCCCTTTCCATTCAGCCAGGCTCCAGGCCAGGCACGTCCCCTGTGGCAGGGACCCACTCTGGCACTGCGTAAGGGCACTTCCCCTACACGGAATCCTCGAAACAATCCCACAGGGTAGGAAGCAGATTATTTGGGAGATGAAGAGACTGAGGCAGGCAGAGAGGAATTAACTTCTCTGCGGTCTCACAGCCAGGAAGTGGCGAGTCGGGATTCCTCCCCAAAGCCCACACTCCCAACCACTTACTGCACTGTGCCTGCACTTCCATTGGTGGGCCTCTCTGATCTCTGCGTGGGCGAAGGGAGGAACTGAGGCTCCAGAAGAGCTGGGCCCTGGGGTCGGCCTGGCAATGGCCCCCCCCCGCCCCCCGCCCGGGCCCATCCAGGTCTCCTGGAGCAGGGAAGTAGAAGAGAGGTGGGCACACCCCAGCTCAGAGCTGAGCCAGTCCCGCCACAGGCCTCCACTGCCACAGCAGCCCCAGCCCGGAGGGGCCAGCGCCAGGCTCCCTCTCCCACCCCCAGCAGGACCTCCCTGTCGGGGCCTGGGCTGCCCTCAACACTCAGCTGCAGGCCCCAAAGGAGGAAGCGGCCACACTTGAAAATGATTGCCATGCAGGGCTGAACTTGGGGCTTTTGTTCTTGAGCAAGGACGGTAACATTTCACTTTCAGGAAGGAGCTGGGAGGGTGGGGCCGCCTCAAGGGTTGCACAACCAAAAACACAGGCTCAGACACACACAGGTCCCACGTGGAACTCTGCTTAGACAAGCCCCCTGCGGACTTGCCGAAAAGGCCGCTCAGCCACGGCGGGTCCGCACGGAGGCCAGACACAGGCCGAGCCCTCCCCCTGCTTTTTAAATCAGGGCTTTGCGTCAGT